CCCCCCTCACCCCCTCCCCACTCCGGCGCAAACTTGGTAGCAGTTGCATGCGCAGGCAGTGGGGGCGACGGGAGAAAACGAGCCGGGCTGACAAGGGAAACGTGATGGGTTGGCGACGGCGGAAACGCGACTGTGAGAGTACGACGGCTTTTGTTGGCTTTGCTGGCTTGCCTGGACTTTATTATGCTATTTCTAGCTTAGGATCTATTTATCATGAATAGATATGCTTGATTTGTTTAGGTGCATTATATATAGTGTTATAGTTATAGCACCGAACTAGGTTACGTGTACCGAACTCAAGCCTTTTCGGTTGCCACCGAATTGCTTTCTACCGAGTTTGGGAAGGTTCTGTTCGGGACGCTTCGCGACCCCTTAGAATATTCGCGTAACACCTGGGTTACCTGCCTTGTGTCGAGACTATATATAGCCTCGTGTTGTACCCAGGTGAATCATTCAATTCAAACTCTCTTTTCTGAGCTCGATCCTAGATCCTCACGGCGATGGGCTGGCGATGGCAAAAACGCGACGGGCTGGCGACGGCGGAGATGCGACGGGTTGGCGTCGGCGGAAACGCGACGGGCTGGCAACGAGGGAAAAAAAAAAAACGACGGGCTGGAGACAAGGGAAACGCGACCAGCTCGCGGGAGCGACCGCCGCAACGAGCGCCGCGAGCACGATGGGTGGGCCCATATGAAAAATTAACGGTCCTTAACTGGGACCTGCTCTGATAACATGTCAACGTACGAACGTAACTACGGATTAGGTTTAAGAAGGCCTAGGCCTAGGCCTAGGCGATAATGGATGGGCTTCACTATAGGTTTGTGGAACATATAGCAAAGAACAAAGGTGCACCACCAAACAAGCAATTAAATTTACACTACAACTAACTACAAACAATTATATAAACTATGTAAAACTACATCACAACATCATTCAAAATTTTGGCCTCTCCACAGCAAAATGGGATCGTTGAGTGCCACATTGGTTTGACTATGGAGGTTGCTTGCACCTCCATACGCTATTTGTGGTCCAATATGCTGCGCAGCAGCTCCACCTCTGGCCCCATGTCTCCCAGCCAAAGACCTCGCCTAACCTTCTTTGGACGGGGAAGGTTGGCGATGCGTCGGCGATTCGGGTCTGGGGTTTGCTAGCCCTTGTCCGCGATCCTACTGCATGCAAGCTCTCTCCTTGTGCAATTTGCTGCATCTTCCTTGGTCTTCCTGTCGACTCGCATGACTGAAAATTTTACCACCCAGCCACTCGCCTCCTCCCGTGACATCACTTGACGAGTCGGTTTGTTACTATCGTCTTTTGTCCATAGCAATTTCCTAGTGCCCCTCTCCTCCCCTCCCCCCCCCCCCCCCCCCCCCCCGCCTCTCTTCCTGATTCCAGGTTCCCCCCAATTAGACCCCCTCCTCCCCCCCCCACGTGTCCTGCTTCCTCATGTGTGTCTCAGTTTACCCCACTCCCCTTGGTTGAGCCTTTGTAGGTCTCCTCAGACGCCTCTGGCCAGGCTGAGGGTGTGAGTATCTAGTTCAGACAATATAAATCTATTGAATGATCCACCTGGGTATAACAAGAGTCTATATATATGCTCGACACAAAGGCAGTAACCTGGGTGTTACTAGAAAGTTTTGTGGGGCACGAAGCGTCCCTAATGGGTCCTTCTCGAATTTGGTTGGAGACAATTCGGTCCTAATTCAGTGCACTCAACCTAGTTCGGTGCCTATAACTATAATAAATATAGTAAAAGCAACAAACCTAGGAAATCTAGCAAAAGCAAGCAAAACAAAATAAAGCTAAGCTAGATAATGCATATTAAATCAGAATCAAGCAAGTAAAGTCTAGCAAAGCCGTCGTACTCTTACAGAAGGGTGACCCTGTTGCTGACGGCACTGCGGTCTCTTGCCACTCACTGCGCTTGGAGACACCTCCTGGTTTTCTGCCTTGGCCGTCTTCACCTACTCCACAGCCGGTCATTGTAAACCTCGGTGAAGTTGGGGGTGGTGACTCTAGAGGTGCACCGGGGGGTGCTGACTCTGATCTCGAGGATGCTGTCTTAGGGGGTACTATGCGTCCTCGAGGTGGTGGAGTCGAGGATAGTAAGATTCTTTGAAGCATCACGATGCACGATGCAGCAGCATGGGACAAGAAGCTGAGCATGGCAGAGTTCACTTACAACAACACGCATCACTCCACTACAGGCATGTCACCGTTCTTCGCACTGTACGGTCAGCACCCCAATGTCCCCACTCGTGTCGATCTCACACCCACTGTCCCTCGTGCGGACAACTTCCACCAGCATCTCACCTTCATTCACGATCACGTGAGGAAGCACCTTGAGCTCGCAAATGCACATATGGCACGCACCACCAACCGCAATCGTCGTGAGGTGCCATTTGCAGTCGACGACCGTGTTCTTTTGGATATCCGTAACCTCCGACCGCCCAAGGCCAGCAAGCTTCGTCCATGTTTCATTGGTCCATTCGTCATTGAGCGCGCACTAGGTCTGGTCGCATAACGCCTTCGCCTTCCCGCTCATTCCACGTGTCTCTCCTTCGGCCTTACATGATCGCACTCCACTGCCCATAGCTGTTGAAACCGATGAGCCTGACTACCAGATCCAGATCCTCAGGCGCCGTCGCCGTCTCTACAAGGGTGTCTCTTTCATCGACTTCTCGGCTCGTTGGCGTTGTTACGATGCAGCTGGGTTTCTTCGCCCTCGCTGTCTCCTGACAACGCTTGCCTCCAAGCGTACCTTCAGTCTGCAGGTGCCGTGGACGTCGCCTCTTGGGAGGGGGTAGTGTTACGGGTTAATTTACTGTTCACAGGTGGTTTACCCTAAACAATGCCCCAACCCAATCCCAACCTTATCTTCATCCAATCCCTTTAGGATTTCCTTGATTTCCCAATGGCCACGTGGCACTCTACTCTTCTAGCTTTTCAATTCCTAGTCCCACAAACTACTTCCCAACATTCTCTCTTGTTCGCTATATAAATCTCTCTTGTACTTGCCAATATCAACCATTTCTCAACCAATTCTCATTCAACTCTTCAATTACTCAATAACTTTTATTTTTTTTTGCCAATAGTCCTTTCGCCAAAGTCTTCCGCTGCGTTTTCATCCTCGACTTAGTCGACCCCGCTATTCGTCAGCGGACCTGGCCCAGACGTCCTAACGGACGTGTGATTGCAACAACATCGTCTCCCCTAAAGTGAACCTAGTGCCTTGATATATGGCCCCTTCACTTAGATTTCACTGGCTTCGTGGTGGCTTCATTAACTCAACCCTCACACGTGTGTACGTTACAGTCACACCGTGCCAGTGAACTCTGAATGAGTAGATACCCAAAGTAGAAACTTTGGGTACGCTCCGGAGGAAGCATGCGTTGAATCTTCGTTTACGGGCAAACTAACTCAGAGTTAGTGCTTTCCTCTACTCGGGCTTTTGGAGGAAAGTTAGATACACTACTCGAGTTACGGCGCAGAGGGGTCACTCCAACATTGCCCTCATTCGGTTCTTTCCAACTAGTGCCCCCCTTCCACATCACGGGTGTTGCGTGGTGTTATAATTTTTTGCCTCATGTTCAACTGCACGCAAACTTTAACGAACCAAGCATATCGAAGTGAAGCATCACTTCATTCGTGAGGCGGTTGAGAAGGGTGAGGTCAAACTCATTACATAAGCACCAAAGCTCAACCGGTGGATTTCCTCACCAAACCACTCCTTAAGGATTCATTCGGTGCATGCTATGAGCGTGTTGGATTGAACTTCTAGTGGCTTGGGTGCAAGGGGGAGTGTTGGAGGATGCGTGTGGGGGGAGGTTTGCCCCCAACCACCGAACTTGTTACTTCCTGTGCTCACTTTCGTGTGAGCTGCAGGTTTGCGTGGAGCAGAAGTTTGACTTCAGAAGACCCATTGATTCGGTGCCACATGGCAGCACCAGGAACATTCGAGACCCAAGGAGAATTCGGATCGGTGAAATTCGAGGGTCGAATTTCACCCCTTCGAAATGTTACTCGAACATTCGCGAGTGTACTGCGGTTGGTGTTGTTTTGCATGTTTCATAGTGAACATTGTGAATCACTTTGTGTGAAGTGCATTCAACCAGAAAAAACCAGAGAGCTTCTAATCTCTATTCCTATAGCATAGTTTTCACGTTTCTAGCCACAGCTCACTCGTTACTTAGGCGAACGAAGTGATTGATGGCTCGTTGGAAAGCTAAGACAGCGCTCTAGATACTGGTAAAGCTCCAAGTTCCTGCCAATCAGAGGACACGCCTCTATAACAGTGGTATCAGTGCTGGTCGGATGAGTCTACGCGCGTGACGAAAAGCAAGCATGCCGACTTCAATCGAGGCCTCCCGCACTTCCTTAGATGGTGTCGTTGTAAATTCCGGCGAACCCTGGGCAACCGCGACGATGTTCGACACGTCGGCGGTACCGATTTTCACGGGACAAAACTACTCCGCGTGGAAGTTTAAGTTCCAAGTGCTCATGATGGAGCGGGGATTTTGGGTCTCTTTGATGGAACGGAGAAAAGGGCGACGGATAACGAGAGCGACATCGCGGCATGGAAGAAGAAGGACCAAAAGGCGTTCGCTACGCTAATCTCGCGGATCGGCATCAACCTCGTGAGCTCGGTGCGCACGTGCATCAAGCTCGAAGCGTCGGCGCATGAAGCGTGGAAGCAGCTCGAGACAATGCACGTGAACAAGACTCTCCAATGCAAGATCCTAGCCCGGAATGTGTTCTACACAGTAAAGTTGCGCGCGGGCAAACCGATGCACGAGTGACTCGTGTGTAGGAACTTGGGAAAAGGTTCGTAGACCTCGGTGGAACGGTCACGGAGGAGGATTGGATTTTGACCTTGCTTTGCGGTCTTCCGGAAGAGTGGTCGATGGTGATAATGACCCTCGATAGCGTGCAAGACACTTGGACAAAGGAAACGGTCGGCGGTCGGCATCTCCATGAGGAATCGCGTCGCTGACAATTCGCTAATGAGAGCGTGGAGACCGCCATGTTCTCCGGAGGGAGTTCCGGAGGAAAGTCCAAGTGGAGCAAGGGTGCGACGAAGAAGTCATATGATAGAATACATCAAACGGCGCGAGCAAGTGCCACTATTGCGGCAAAGCGGGACACTTTTGGCGAGAGTGTCGGAAGCGCCCGAGCGATTGGACTCCATCGAAGGAGCGGAACCACGAGGGCAACGCACACACGGCATCCGGCGAGGCGGATGATAATCGTATTATTGGCCGGTGACGGAACCAACACTTCGAGCGACGCGTGGTGCCTCGACACCGGCGCAACGCAACACATGACGCACTCTGCATCGTTCCTCGCCAACGTTTGTGCATCGCAGGACGTTAAGCGCGTCGTCTTCGGGAACAACAAGTCGCTACCGGTGGTTGGAGTTGGGAGTACGCGTCTCATCGTCGATGGCGGACCGGTTGACATCACGAACGTGCTTCACGTTCCGGGATTGAAGGTGAATCTACTCCCCGTCACTCAACTCGCGAAGAAGGACATGAAGTTCACCATCGATGGCGCGACGATGAACCTCTTCTGGAAGGGGAAGCAATTCGCACAAGGCGTTCTCAACGGAGAACTCTACCAACTCAAGACGCACCCGGGAGCGGCTTCATCCAACGTGGCGCAAGGTTCCAATGCGACTTCCAAGGCGTGGCATAATCGACTTGCGCACGCCAACTACGAGTCGGTCAAGGAGTTGGCCAAGAAAGGACTCTCGGAGGGAATCGACGTGATCGCTGGCGACGACGAGAAGGGCGTGTGCACGGCGTGTGTCGAAGGAAAAATGGCTCGCAAGCCATTTGGTAGCCGAACGTCACCCCTCGCTAAGAACCCACTTGCGCTTGTTCACATGGACGTGTGTGGACCGATGCGGCATGCATCAAAGGGAGGAGCGCGGTTCCTCTTGGTGATGCTCGACGACGCGACGCGGATGTGTTGGACCCGACTCTTGAAGGCTAAGGGAGATGCGGCCAAGGCGATTCAAGAGTGGGCGCTCGAAGTTTGCGACGACGACAAGAAGCGGATCAAGTGTATTCTCACCTATGGTGGTGGCGAATTCGTGAACGCGGAGCTTGAGAAATGGATGAAGAGCAAGGGCATTAAGCACGACGTCACAACACCCTACACACCCCAACAAAATGGAGCGGCGGAGCGGCTTAATCGCACGTTGGTGGAAGCCGTTCGTTCTCTTCTTCAACACTCCAAGCTTGGGAGCGAGTGGTGGGGTGAGTGAGGCGAGTTCGTTAGCCGCGTGGATTCGCAACCATTTGCCGACGAATGTGCTCTCGGGAACGACTCCGTTCGAAGCATGGACCTCAACGAAGCCAAACCTATCCCGCCTACGCACCTTTGGGTGCCTATGCTACTACCATGTCCCGGATCCCCTTCGCCACAAGGTGCAACCGAAGGCTCGTGCGGCGATATTCTTGGGAATTGCGGCGAACAAGAGTGCGTGGCAAGTGTGGGACTTGGGTGAAAAACACGTCGTCACATCTCGAGACGTGGTGTTCGACGAAGACAAGTTTCCGATGAAGGAACAACCAATGCCCCAACTCACCGTCATACTTTCCGCACGAGAGGAGGATGAGGCGGTGGAGGTTCCATCACAAGCGGAAAAGGAAGCCGAAAGAGGAGGGGGAGAGAACGAGGAGTGTGATGATGATGTCATGCAGGTGCCACCAACCGAGGAGGCAACTTCCTCCGCACCTTCTTCCCTACCATTGGCGTTGACCCGTGGGCGTCGTACACCTCGCCCCAACACAAAGTTAACCGACTACGCTACGGTAGCCGTTGGGGAGTTGGATGAGGAGCGTGCGGCATATTGCTTCGCAACCAAGTTGGGTGATGACCCTCGCACCCATATCGAGGCTTTGGCTTCTCCGGATGCGCCCCTATGGAAGCAAGCAATGGAGAAAGAGCTAGCATCGATCAAGGAGAACGATGTGTTTGAGCTCGTCGACCCACCGAAGGGTGCCTACTTGGTGGGGTGCAAATGGGTGCTTAAGAAGAAGTTGAGAGCCGATGGGAGTGTCGAACGCTACAAGGCAAGGCTTGTAGCTCAATGATACACTCAACGGGAGGGGGAGCACAATAGTGAGACCTTCGCTCCCGTCACTAAGGCTACAATCTTCGGGTGTTGCTCGCTCTAGCGGCATCGCTTAACCTCGAGGTGGAGCAATTGGACGTTTGCACCGCCTTCCTCTACGGGCTTCTTATGGAAGAAGTCTACATGCGGCAGCCCCCGGGGTACGATGACGGTAGCGGAAGGGTGTGGAAGCTCAAGCGTACCCTCTACGGCTTGAAGCAAAGTCCACGCGGATGGTACAAGCGCATCGACGACTTTCTTCTTCAACACGGCTTCGCGCGTAGCGAGTGCGATAGCGCTTTGTACGTGTTGAAGGAGGGGGAGAAGCAATTGGTGCTTTTGCTCTACGTCGATGACTTACTCCTCTTCTCCGACTCCAAGGACCTCATTCGGGAGGTCAAGTAACGACTCGGGGTGGAGTTTGCTATGAGGGACTTGGGGCCGGTCACGTACTACCTTGGGATGCACGTCGTCCGTGACCGAGCCAACGGGACCATCCACCTCTATTAAGAGAAGTATGTGAAGAGGGTAGTGGTGAGCTTCAGCATGGCAAACCGGTGGGAACACCACTAGCTACGGGGTTCTCTTGCCTCACGGGAGAGGAAGAATCCACCCTCGATGAAGCCGAAGGGAAGCGGTTTCATTCGCTAGTGGGCTCGCTCATGTATGCCGCCGTTTCTACTCGTCCCGACCTCGCATACGCCGCCGGGGTGCTTGGACGAGTCGTGAGCAACCCTCATACCGAGCATGTGCGTGCGGGAGGACGTGTTCTACGCTACCTCCAAGGCACACCTAACTTGGGGCTCGTGTATGAAGCCGGCCCGATTGAACTCAATGGCTATGCCGACTCGAACTACGCGGGAGATCCGAGCACGCGCAAGAGTACCTCCGGGTACGTCTTCACCTTGCTTGGGGCAGCCGTGAGTTGGCAAAGCAAGAAGCAACCAACCGTGGCTCTAAGCTCAACGGAAGCGGAGTATATGGCACTCACTCAAGGTGCCATGGAGGCGATATGGTTACGGCGTCTTCTAGCGGAGCTTGGGCATCCTCAAACGAACCCAACTCCAATCTTTTGTGACAACCAAGCCGCCATAAGCCTCTCTCACAACGCCGTCCTTCACGGGCGAACCAAGCATATCGAAGTGAAGCATCACTTCATTCGTGAGGCGGTTGAGAAATGTGAGGTCAAACTCACTTACATAAGAACCAAAGCTCAACCGGCGGATTTCCTCCCTAAGGATTCATTCCATGCATGCTGTGAGCATCTTGGATTGAACTTCTAGTGGCTTGGGTGCAAGGGGGAGTGTTGGAGGTTGCGTGTGGGGGGAGGTTTGCCCCGAACTTGTTACTTCCTGTGCTCACTTTCGTGTGAGCTGCAGGTTTGCGTGGAGCAGAATTTTGACTTCGGAAGACCCATCGATTCGGTGCCACATGGCAGCACCAGGAACATTCGAGACCCAAGGAGAATTCGGATCGGTGAAATTCGAGGGTCGAATTTCACCCCTTCGAAATGTTACTCGAACATTCGCGAGTGTACCGCGGTTCGGTGTTACATGTGCGGTTCGATGTTATTCAGTTTGTATAAATCCACTCGCTTTGTATGCATGTTTCATAGTGAACATTGTGAATCACTTTGTGTGAAGTGCATTCAACCAGAAAAAACCAGAGAGCTTCTAAACTCTATTCCTAGAGCATAGTCTTCACGTTTCCAGCCACAGCTCACTCGTTACTTAGGCGAACGAAGTGATTGACGGCTCGTTGGAAAGCAAAGACAGAGCTCTAGTTACTGGTATAGCTCCAAGTTCCTGCCAATCAGAGGACACGCCTCTACAACAGGGCCTGGTCGGCCTGGTTGGCCCGACCAGGTTGACCCAGGTTGAGCATTACCCAACCCGACGCGGTTGGGTCGAGCTGGTCGGCTAGATCCCGCAACACAGCTTTCCTAAAAATGAGCTGGTCAACCAGACCTCTTTGGGTCGCAACATGTCGTTAGCTAACTGAGCTAGGGCCACACATCAAGGCCTATACATGATCGGTATACGATATTGGTTCAGGGCAGTTAGATTTTGGTTCGGTTTTTAGCGAGCAGAACAAGCTCTGGTTGAAGATTTTGGTTCGGTATACATCGGGCATTGGTCAAACCTCTGGTTGTAGCTTCTGGTCAGCCACTTTTGGTCAGCGATCCCTAACCTCTGGTAAGCGATCGTTTTGGTTGTATGGACGGCATGAGTTCGGTAGCGAGCCAAAGCGAACCCCCGAGCAAGCATGGCGAGTACGAGCAAAAAAAAAAAAAAAAGAAGAAGAAGAAGTAGCAGAGTGGCGTTCCTTCACAGTGACAACAACGCATCGTAGACCCAATCTTCATGGTTTCTAATCCTTACAAATGGTTACGAATTGATGCGATTCAAGAACACAAGCAACAAAGGAGGAGATTAGATTTGGATTCATGCTCGCAAACAGTGTTGGCTTTCACTTTCGTCTTCGCAACAAGATTTGTTTTGCTGCAATACATTTCGTGACCAAACGCTGAACCGCATGTATTCGTCATGCAACAGTGTTTTGCGACTTCGTACATGCTGGTCTGATTGGATGCGCGATGGAAAGGCACTCCGCACGACCAACTTTGCACTTTGGAAAATCGCTGCCCAGGGGGTTCTGGTCATTGAACTTCTGGTCACCATGGATGATGAGAGGTTGACCAGACCTGAAATGTGTTAATGGGAAGGTGTGTTGGCCCCGCCCCCGCTTGGGCAACGCCGACGACTTGGTCGGATGTACGGGAGTAGCAGCCGACCGTTCACAGTGGGAGAGCTGCTTGATAGGCTACGTCGAGCTGCAGGGGACCGCTGTGGCGTTGCTGTCGACCAGGGAGCTCGACAGCTGCAACTGACTGGCCTGGGCGACGGGTGGGCCGTCTAGGAGGTCGACGGAGCATCCCGTCGACCTACAGTTCGACGGGGAGGTCTGCGGAGCATCCCGTCGACCTACAACTCGACCGGGAGGTCCGCGAAGCAGTTCTGGTCGACGGAAGGGGTCCGTCGACCAGGGGGTAGCTCGACGGGAGCTGTGGTCGACCAGGGGCACCTGGTGGTCGACCAGAGGGAGCTGTGGTCGACCAGAGGCACCTGGTGGTCGACCGGAGGCACTGGTGGTCGACCGGAGCACCTGGTGGTGTCCGGATCGACCGGGTAACCTGCTCGACGAGTTTTGTGGAGGCACACGAACGTCGTCGAGGTCGCGATGGCATAGGTGACTTCGGGTTGGTATCCCGAAGTCGATGTGGCTTGTCAGGCGCAGACAACAGCCGACGGATGCACAGTAATGCGAGTCGGGCCAATCGTTTGCACGCACCTGCGAGCGCGCGCACTGCTGTCTTCTACGGGGCAACGCTGGACCGCCGCTCAGCTGCAGTGTTGGCACGCCGTCGACCTGCAGTGTTGGCAGGTCGCTATACTGCAGTGCTGGCGCGGCTCCTCTACGCAACGCTGGCAGGCGGTCGACCATGCAGTGCTGGCGGTCGACCAGGCTAGCTGCAGAGTTGCTAGGTGCCTGATGTAGTCATTCTGTCATTGCTTGTTCAATCATTCTGTAATTCCAACTTTGCCTAGCGGAACTCTTGCCAATCTCCTAGTATCAAGGAACCAAGCAAAGCAACGATCACTCATAGTAGTTCGTGCTAACACCCGTCTAGATCACTACAGTTGTAGAGTGATTCTCCGCAAAATGTACCCTGAGCAGGGGTCTTGATGCGTTTTGGGCCACCCTGTCAAAACAAAGCTCCAGGCCAAAGTCACACTGTCACTGCAGTGTGCTGTCGCGTCGTACCCTAGAAATGGCAGGGTGTTGAAAATTTTCTGGTCTGGTATGGCATGGT